AAAAAAAAGAGAAGTGGAGCCGTTTTATAATTTTGTTAGGTAGGCATGGTCGTATGCTAGGCAAGTTATGCACCCAAAAAGAAGAAATGGACAACCTGGGGAGTCCTTGGACGGTTTGGACAAATATTTAGGAGTTTGAGCGACGATGGGAGAAGGTTCCTTTTGGAGTTGGAGAGTTCACGGAGGTGCTGTCCATACATACCTCCAGACATTATATACTGAATGGTCTCAATCGGCGTTGACAAATTAATGGGGGAGTAGCTGGCTTCGACAGGCTAAATAGTGCAGTGATCATTGCAATATTTTTTTATTTTCTTTCCCTAGCCCAAAGGCATCATAGAAATTGGAGTAGCTGTGAACCACTGCTGTATTGGATGGGTTTATCATTCAGCTGTGGTCTCAACTCATGATTGCAAAGCGTAGCCCGTGTTGACACATTGACATTCCCTTTCTTTTCTTTTTTATTTTTTTTTATTTTTTTAGATTAACATGGGTGTCCGGATCAGCTTACGCGCACCACAACTAATCCCACGGGCCCTGAAGTTAACGACCATGTAAGCCTCCAGTGACCATCATATGAGCAATTAAGGATTCGAACCTGAAACCATAGAGGGAACAAACCCTTTGATCCTAAATCTTTACCACTTGACCACCACCTAGATGGTTCTTTCCTTTCATTTTTGTTCTTATTTATTGCTGTCCTTTAAGTTTCTTCTTGTTTCGAAAAATCATTTAACGTAAACCCCATCGAAGATATAGTACTGCCTCTCTTGAATTTATCCATGGTGTACCATATTCAGGCTTGCCGAGTCGTTTCACAAAAACCTTGATCGTAAATGAAGGAAAAGTTAACGTAAACTTCCCGACTCTTCAGAAACTCCAAATGAAAATATAGAATATATAGCAATGCTATCAGAACCGCAATCTAGTTAGCATATCATTTTCCTTCTTGTTTCTTACCCTCGTATAGTTAAAGCTAGAATGAGAGCTTTAAAGCCTATTGTATCCCATGCCATGTTGCCTCCGTTGCCATATAGATGCTTTCAGTTTGCTTAATTTGCAAATTTCCTAGCAATTGCCCATCTTGTTTTCATTGAATCCCTCCGCAAAAGTTGATTTTGACATTTAAAAAGTCTTCACGCATCCATCCTTTCTCGACCCAATTTCATGAAATCAATAATGGAGAAGGCTGGTGCAATGAAAACATCAATATCCTTGGAAGAAGTTTCAGCAATATATAAGAATTAAATTGGAAATTCAAAAGTCTGAATATTATATCTCAATCATAATGATGAAATGTTATATCTCTATCATAATGATATTGGTTTAACTCGAGAAATTAATGAAGATAAATTGAGGATTTTCTTTTGTCAGAGTTTAGCTGTTATAATTAAAAATAATTTTGTGATTTTATGCCATATGATTTTATCAATTTTTTTAGAGATGACATGGCTGGTATCTTTTTTCCACAACGACATGCATAAAGATTTAGAAATCAGATCAATTTCACGCATCTCGCTTAATTTTTGGGACGGCCGAAGACACTAGCAGCGGCACATCTACATGGGCCAAATGCCTAATAGTCTAACAGATTATGGAAATACAATATATAAATATCAAGCAGAAAAAAACCATGATCAAATAGCAGCTAGAGATTCGGCGGTGTATGATTAGAAAAAAGAAAAAAGAAAAAAGAAAACGAAGCTATATTTAAAAATAAAAATAAAAATCTTCGATAAGAACGTTTGATATTTTTTAATGATGTGAAGATGCTAATGTATTTTGCATCAACTTGATGTTAATAGATACTATATATATATATATATATATATATATATATATATATATATATCTGTGTGTGTCCAGATAAAATCTGATAACAATTTTCATTTATCTATAATATTTTTCAGTTTCGAGATGCAGGGAATGGATCCTCCACCTCTCACGGTGTCCAAAGCGGGCCAAAAAAAGTAAAATATAATACCAAAAAACGTATAAATCAGCAGGCATAATGATATCAATTTGTATTTTGTTTGATGCGATCGCCTTTTATCATTCCATTAGGGATGTATGGTCTAAATCTTTCAGTGCACTCTCATTTTTGGCTTTGGATTAAGCTACGACAAGAAGCATCTAGAGGGGGACTGTATGGTCTAAATCTTTTAGTGCACTCTCATTTTGGCTTTGGATTAAGCCACGACAAGAAGCATCTAGAGGGGGACGTGGAAATTGAAGTAAAACTGATCGAAGGGCCATGAATTGTACTAGTGATTAATGTCAATGCTTAATATAATTTTGGTGGCGGGTCTTCGTGAGATAAAGGGAATTGTATTAATTTGCAATTAATGGATAAGACCTTTCTATTTCAACGATTAATCTCCTTCACCAGATTAGTCATGTCCTCCTCAAAGAAAATGACAGTATAAGCCAAGTCAAGAGAACAACTTTATTCTCGTTAATTTCCTTAGTGTGAGCAACCAGAGAATGGGATAGGAAATGAAGGGTGATCAATGGATAGCAAATCAACTTGGATTACAAGTTGAGATGCAAAGTAGTGTTGTGTGGTGTGGATTGTGACAAAAACAAGTCACCCGCCCGCTTTGGAAAAGACTGCATCACACTCATGATTCGGTATATGATATGATGGAAACGTTTTACTTTCTAGATAAGATTGATAAGGTCACGGCATTTTCTAGACATCTGTAAAAATCTGGTTCTTCGTTAAATCCAGATGCTCCTGGTGATGGAAATTACAAGGTATGTTACTTCCATGCTGTGAGTTTAGCTGCATGTACTCCGGCAACCTATCATAATTAATGGAGAACAAGCATGCATGAGCCTGGCTTCAAGTAACTAGCTTCTAAGGTTTGTTTGGCCTTGAACCTTGAACTTGGGGAATTCACCGAATTTCATCAGAACAGCAAAATAAAATCAGGTGCATTCATTCGTAGAGATTTATTTGAATTGGATAATTGGATTGCATAGCAAAATACCGATTCTTAAAGCAACGTCCACCCTTTTCCTCGAGCTTTTCAGTCAACTTTCTTGGAACTTTGGATATCATTTGAGAAATGGATTATTTTCTTATGCAATGCGATGATCAAGTTCTAAGTTCTAATAATATCCCATCGTGTTATATGAACTTGGGGATTTAGTTTGAAAACTGAGCGACTACAGAGAAACTTACACTCTTGTGTAGAGCTAGAATAGTCACGAATGCTTGCATCAATTACACCACAATTCCCAAGCAATCCTTCCTCTTTTTCAATATTCCTTACTGGTCAATTTACAGCTGTCAATGAATGTGCTGTATGAAGAAATATGCGTAATAAGAAAGAAACATAGAAGATAATGTTTGTTTGAGTGGTGAACCATAGTTTTTAAACTTGATTAGGTGGCGGGTTCGGTTCAAGGCTTGGGTTTTGGGTTGTGATTGAATTATCGGGTTTTGACTGAGTCGGCCGGATCAATTTTTATTTTTAAAAAAATTCAAAACGACATCGTTTCAGTAACAAAATAAAATAAAAATCAACGGGTTGCAACTGAGTTTTTGACCGGGTTTTGCCGGGTCATCCGGGTTTCCAGGTTAACCCGCCAGGTCGATCAGGTCATGACTTATTTTATTTTTTTAATAACCCGGCCTGGTTCTAGCTCTGGGTTGGCCGGGTTCCAAGTTGACCCGCCAGGTCGGATCGAGTTTTAAAATTGAGTGAACCTATATTTTTTTTAAAATTTTTTGGATCATTATAATATACTGATATTAAAAATACATTTTAAAAAATAAAAAAAATATTATATTAATATATTTTTCTAAAAATAACATTTTAAAAAATAAAAGCAGCTGAAGAGTTCCGAAATACTGCAAGACGCGATTCCGTTTCTTTACTCCATCACCAGCCTATTGCTCTAATTTTATGAAAGTCCAGGAGAATAGTGGGTATGCCTTTGGGCCGCTTTCATGGTCTCTATGACTGCAGCAATCTATTGGCACTATTTAAATGAGCTAGGTCCAATACTTGTCTAACTCTATAAGTGGTTAGTTCGATCATGAGCCCACTATTTTAACAAATTGAATGAAAATGAATGGAGATAACAAAGATATATATATATATATATATATATATATATATATTATTTCCTTTTTTTATTAAATATGTTTTTATTCATTATGTATCTATTTTTTATATCCTAAAGCACTAATCAAACACAAATATGAGCAACCTTTCTTCCTTTGGCCTTTGCTTGGATTTTCTATCTCTATAAACCCCCCTTTTACAGTTTGATCTACTTCATTTAGGTTGCTAATCTTGAGCTTAGTCATCTACGTATATTTTTAATGTCTAGCTGAAAGCATCCATGAAAGCCCGCACACTCTTTCTATGAATTCATGTTAGGCTTGACTCGGCTCTAGAAATTTGATGTACCGCTCAGATTTAATATCTAATCATGTGTTGGGCTTCGTGCTTTCTGTTCTTCTTTCGATTTTTCTTTGAAATATGGAATAGGTCATTGGCAATATCTTTTGAAACCGACCAAATCCACCCATTGAGTATCTTTAATCCAAAAGCATCATACAAGTAATCCATATCGAAAATAATCATGTTTTGCGCACATGCCCATGATTTTCAACAAAAATGATTGAAAGAATGGTATATTATTGAATAAGAGCAAATTTTAAGGTTACAATGGGTTAATATTCTTACAGCATTGATGAATGATGCAACGTAAGAAGGATATATTGATAAGTTTCCCCTAAACATATTATTACGTATTCACGTTGGTTCGTCAGAAGAACGAAAGGATTAATAATACATAGAGGAGTAATTGACCTTTCTATCGTGCGACATATTAATTATTTCGAGACAAATAAAAAAAAAACCTCGGTACAATTCGATCTAGCATACTTTTGTACTGATGATGCTTTCCCCTGGACAAAGCTTCCACTTCTCGTAAAAAGAAGAGAAAAGTTTCCCATGTAACAGGCCAAGCCCAACTAGACAAGCAATCCCAAGAACAGCGTTTACCGGTGGTGATATTTTGAGAGAGATTTCTATAAGAAGTCACCCATCGCCACTACATTTGGCAGACAAAACCCTTTCTTCAATGGATGCTGGCAGCACAATCCACAAGCAATCAGCCTCTCGTCTAACCGTGATAGCACACTTGTTTGGCATCTTGGCTATAATTCTCATGCTGGTTTGGTTATTGCATTATCGCGGGGGCATCGAGTATGATTCTGATAATCCTGATCGTGTTTTCAATGTAATTAGAATTTCCGCAACCTTTGTTTTTGTTACTGTCATATAATTATAATCTTGTTATTTCTTAATTTTAGTATTAATCTTGGTATGCAGGCTCATCCGTTTTTTATGTTCTGCGGACTCATATTTCTTGCTGGGGAAGGTACGTGCTCGTGTGTATATATATTAAAATTTCAAAAATTACTTATTATAAGTAAAAAATCTCATTTATTGAAACTTGATAGCGTTGGAATGGCTATTTTATTTATTTCATCATTTGTGTGTTTTTTTGGGAGGATATAATTAATTGACAACTTGAAAATTAAAAAAAAAAAACAAAACAATTTGATGTATGGAAAGTTATTAATGATATTATATTAGTTATTACTCACCGGATCCATGACTCATAATTTCTTATATATATTTTAAAATGAGTTTCAAGAAATAGTTAGTATTATGTTATTAATTACTCCTCCATGACCATAAACCATAAAATCTGATTAAAATTCAAGCCTTATTGGTATTTTTACACGATTAACAACATTCTCATGTCTCATCTACTTGATTACTTTTAACAGCTTTCTTAAGTTCTTATATAAATATATGTTGGTGATGTGAGCAGCGATGATGACATACAAAACAATATCATCGGCAATGATTGTCCAGAATTCTATCCACATGTTCCTCCATTTGATTGCCCTGTGCCTTGGTATTGCTGGCGTATGTGCTGTTTTCAGGTTCCATGATATGATCCAAGCAGAGGATGTTTATAGCTTGCATTCATGGGTTGGGTTGAGCACCTTCTGTTTATTTTGCTTGCAGGTGCGTAAACTCTATCAGACTAGACCCGATTAACCACGACCTCTAGCTAGTGATGAACATCCTTTGAATTAATTAAATTTTAGGCAAAAACAAACCTTTCGTCCCTTCATTCGTGACAATGGTCATTTCAGTGTTTGAACTTTTTTCGAGTGACACCAAATCTGAGAAAATGTTGGCCAAGTGGCCCCGATCAATAACTGTCATACGTTGATCTATTAAAAAGGGACCGTATTGCAAACCTAAGAAACATGGGGATTGAATCGACTTTTTCTAAAGAAATCCCAGTAGCTTCAGCATGGTATATTTTCAGATTGTGACACTTGTTATATACTTGAACTCGATTCGCAGTGGGTGCTCGGCTTCTTTACATTCATGTTTCCAAAAGCTGGGAAACAAACAAGGGCATGCATGCTTCCATGGCACGTATGTGGGGGGAGAGCACTGTTATATATGGCAACATGTACAGCACTGACTGGGTTAATAGAGAAAGCTGCATTCCTCGAGCTAAAGCATCATTGCGAGTCTCATTTGATTAACTTCACCGGACTCTTTATCCTTCTCTTCGGCATATTCGTTGACCTCTCGGTTGCTATTGCCCGTTATGTGTGATGATTCTATACTACCTTCCATATTTTGTATCTGTATTGGGTAGTAGTTTTAATTTCATACAAGTTGGCTAGAATTGCTTAAGATCTAATAGAAATATAGTTTGAAAAAAGAACAAAAAAAAAATAGTAATAACAACACCATATTCTATATGAGCCTGGATTTAGAACTATTAAATCTGATAGAATATTTGAAAGCAACTTTTTCTTATTTTAATTTTATTTTAACCTTTGTACTCCATATATATTTTAAGTCTCAAGTTTTAATAGTATTACAATGCCTCGTAAACAATCATATCCGATAACCTAATCAATTCAAGCGAAGAATCGAGCCATGAAACTTTTCAAAATTAGTCAACATTTTCTTGCGGACCATCCCCCATTCGCCATGGCACCATGCTTCTCTGCTCACCTCCCAAGATGTAGCATTACCAACAAACTTCACATGATAAAGTACGCGTTTCGCAGATCTCACTGTTCGGTGATACTGAGCATTAACATTCTTATTCCAAGTTAAAAAAAGTTTGAATTAAAAAAAATAATTAAAAATAATTCAGTAAACTTTATCTTAACCTTATAATTATCAAAGAACCATATCTTAATATGCTAGATAAAATTTTAAAATATAATTTATATTATTTTTTATTATATTTTTCAAGTAAAATCCTTTTAACCTTAAATTTGTACAAACTCTTAAGTAAAAATCTTCTAATTTTAAAATTTATACATATTCATACTATATCGTATTTAATTTTTATCAAATAAATAGAGATGGTAAAATTTAAATTTATAATTATTTAGTTATTAAAATCTTGATACTATATAAAAAACAATCTCAACTTAATAACTTAAATTATTAAATAACTTTTTAAAATATAATTTATATTATTTTTTAATAATAATAATTTGATTAATTAAATACTAGACTTTCAAGATCATACCGACAAAACCCTGGTTCTCCATTTAATTTGTCACAACACTCGCCGGCCTTGACGTTTCCTAATACTCTATATGTGGGATTCGGAGGATCCGTCTTTCTTGCGTTGGCAAAACCAGGAAGGTTTTCCTTGTGCACATCACAATGTACACAGCAAAATTTCCACGTAAAATTAATCAAGAAGAGTAAACTTCATTCTTGACCCTAAAGATTCGTCAATGTTCCACTTTTACTCCTATAGTTTAAGATTTCTCAATGTTACCCTAATAGTTCACAGGAAGTTTCAATGTTACCCCTGACCATTAAGGAGACCACTTCCTTATTTGTTTTTTTTTAGTTTTCTAGGTATTCTATGTGAGATGGTACGGCATTTTCAGGGATTTGAGTGGAAAGGGTGAGATAAAATAATAAAAAGAAAATATGAAGAAAAGTGAATTTCTTATCAGTTTTTTCCTAAGAGTGAAATTAAACTTTTTAATAACTACAGGAGAAACATATGGAGATTTTTATTTATGGGGGTAGAAGTAAACTAGGAGTGAGTTTATATGAGCAAAAATATAGTTTATTGATAATAAAAAATTCAACACCTTAGCAAGTTTACAATGAAAACAAACGAATCACTTTGTATTGTCCAACTTCGTGAATACTAGCAAACAATGATGATGATTTCAAGTACTTGAAGAACAGTACTGAACATATATATATATATATATAGACACGCACACAACTGCTAGAGAGCACCTATTTCCAGCTTGCACTGATCTCCCCCTTTCCATTTACCCCTGTCTCTTTGAGCTAGAGTAATAGACTCGAGATCATCTAGTAGAGCAATGCCACCTAAAAGTCGAAGTTTCCAAGTCTCAGCGACCCCCGTAACAATGTTTGCCCATTTGTTAGCTATAGCAGTCACAACCCTTGTTCTTGTTCGGTTTTTACACTTCCGAGGAGGCCTCGCTTTCGAATCCGCTAACAAAGGCAAGATTTTGAATGTAAGATGAATCAGGCTTTAATCATTTATAGATATTTTCATTATGTTTTCTAACTAGGAATTCTTTGTTTAATTTCTTGATTCTTCTCAATTCAGATGCATGCTCTTCTAATGGCAGTTGGATTTATAGTTTTTGCGGGAGAAGGTAAGAAAATAAAATGTAGCTTAATGAATAAATTAATAAATGAATCAGAAAATGCTAAACCGGAGCATTATTATTAATTTAACAAATAATCACTGCTCATATCAATAATTTTGATAGCAAGGGCTGACATTTCATAGAAAAATTAGAGGATTAACCTTTGATGCGACCATGCACTTGCACTGCGCGCATAGTAGACTTCTTCCTGATTGCTCCATAGTATGTCTGTCACTCTAGCAGTGAAAAGAAAACATTGTAGCTAGGTTCTAATCAAATTTCATTTTGAATAAGCTATTATGGCATACAAGTCAGTTCCAGCAAAGAGGAAGGTGCAGAAAGCTTTTCATGTAACATTGCATCTGATAGCACTTGTGGCTGGAGTAGTGGGTGTTTATACGGCTTTCAAGTATAAGCATGAGGTGGAGGAAAAAGACATGACTAGTTTACATTCCTGGCTTGGCATGATCACCATCTGTTTATTTGGTTTACAGGTATTATCTTTTTTCTTGAGATTACAAGATGTACCATTTGTTACCTTTTCTTAATATTCTGATCACTGATTAACACAAAATGGGACGCTGGGCAGTGGTTGTTGGGATTCTTCTCATTTGTGTTCCCGGGCGCAGAAATGTCAGCAAGAGCCTCGTACAGGCCATGGCACGTTTTTGGTGGTTTGGTCATATTTTTCCTTGCAATAAGCGCAGCCCAGACGGGTTTGCTGCAAACTTCAAATTTCTTAGGCCCAGGCCTCAGCCAAGAAGGACTTATTGTCAACTTCACTGGACTTTTGCTTTTTTTATTTGCAGTCGGTGTTGGGCTGAGCAGTGTCCTTCCTCGAGCATATTATTAACATCAAATGGTATCAGATCTTCACTGTGCCCATGGGGTTCTGATTTGTTCTCTCTTCTACCACTTGTAATTTCTTGATGAAGGGGTGGGGGGGGAGTAGACTCGAGCTTCGAAAGCTGGTCTTTCCTCCTACGCCGCACTTGTATGGTATTATAATTTATTTATTTGTTAAATAAATTGCAGATTTTTTTTCCCCTTTTGTGAGGAATGTTTATTTTGAGAGATTTTCCTGGGAGCTGTTATGAACTGTTCATAATAAAAATAAGAAAACCAAATCATGGTTTTTTTTTAACTAACATGGATGTCCTTGTTTACATTCATCTCAATTAATTTTATAAGTCTTAAAATTAATAATTATATAAATTTTTAATGATCCTAAAATTTATAAAACTTAAACTAATAATATTTAAAAAACAAATATAAAATCTAACCCATTGAGTTAAATCCCTCAAAATTAATAATGGTTTTTTTATTGACTTTTGATTGCTTTCATTTTTTAGCCTAACTAAGGAATAATAATAATAAAAAAAAAGCATTTGCCAAGATGTTTTATTTTTTAAGAATAATGATTTATTAAAATTTAAAAAAATTGTTGCATTCCTTCCATAATGTCATTTATTTAGTTTTCAATGTTTCATAAGAACATACATTTATTAGGGAAATCCTTTATCTATTCAATTCTTTTTTATGAGACTTTGTTTTAAGGTAAGGAAAAATTATATTCCGTTTTTGTACATTGAAACTAATTTCTTTATTTATTGGATGTTTAACGATAATACAAGTTCAAACTCTCTTTTCAAAAGCACTAAACCTCAAAGAATAACTTTATGGAACAGATTTTTTTTCGGTGAGGAAATTATTGTTTCATATATAATTATACATTAGCAAGTAAGCACAGTTTGCTGGACTTGCACAATTTGTCTGAACTTGGAACTCCGAAGCACTTCTTATCATTACTATCCTGCGTCAATGGAGCAATTAATTAATGATTAATAATATGTTAGAGAATAATATACATTATATTGTAAAATTTTATTTAAAAATTTAAGTTTTTAGATGAAATGATTCTTTAATTATTTAAAAAGTTAAGTTTTTAGATGAAATGATTCTTTAATATAAAAACATATTTTTCATGATCATGGTATTATCTTAGTGATTTGGTAAGGTGGTTCAACCATGTTTTTTTTTTAAATTTAATTTTTTATGCTTTTATATTGTTTTAATATATTTTTCAATAAAATTTATTTTAAACTATAACTATTATTACACTTCTAAATACTTAGCAGACGTGCAGGCCAAAAGAAAATTTCAATGTGTAAAAATTGACGCTCTATGGAATCAATTTAATGGTTCTAACTCGCAGTGACCGGTGCTTAATGGTCCCAGTTCACAAATATGTTAAAATACATAAAAAAAAACAAAAAAAAAAACAAAAAAGGAAAAGAAAAGGGATCGTATTCATTACCTTTATTCGCCATTAAAATTATCTTTTAAGAACAACTTCAACAACGTGCATGAGCACTGGTAATTTTATATGTTATCTGTAGAATCGTATAATACATAAATTAGAGTACATTTTCTGATAGCTGCAACAACTAGGGCGGGTAATATTTGACAATTGTAATTAAGAATCAAAATATTGGTATATGAAATAACATGGGCACAGACAATGATTCAGTTGTTATATTGGAGGGATATCATAGAGTTTAAGGTCAAAAGCAGCAGCAAAAGTGGCCCTGTGAAGTCTGATCCTGCCATGTATTTACCAATTTTGGACAGCCACCAAACAAATCCAACAGTATCAAACAACCTTTGATATACTATAAGATAGAATTTCACTGGTTTCGTTCCTTGATCTTCCCATCAAGGCCATGAACTTCCAAGCTCCCCAGTTCCACAGCTAGGAAGGAAAGCCGTGCATTTTTGCATTTAGAGAACAAACATTTCAAGCTCAAAATGGCAAAGATACAAGACAATTGCACACGATTACACATCGTCTATGAGCAAATTATAAAAACCGAAGGAATAAATTACACCCATTGCTGCTTTGTGGCCTCCATTCTTTCCAATAAACCAGCAATCTCTGCTTGCATTCTCAGCTTCATGTTGAAGTAATTACAATATGTATTTTCCAAAGTCTTCAGTTCCTCCATTTTCTTCCTCCGTGTTTCTTCTGTATCTTGAAAACACATTTTGGCCAGCTTCTCTGCATATTCTTCTTCTAACTTGTCAGATTTTGCCCGAATCATCTGCCTGTAACCTTCAGCCTCTCTTTGCGCTTCATCTGCCTTGTTCTGGAACATTCTTGCTTCTGCTTCTTTGATCTGCACAATGCTTTCTAAGCTATTGAAGCCATCATTCTTTGATAACTTCCCAAACTGAAACTCATTTTCAAGTTTTAGGACATCAAGGAGGGAAGCTTTGAGATCATTTCGGTGTAGATCATTTGGTTGTGAATCACGTCTTCCACTTGAAGAGCCCATGTTGTAAATGGCATATTTTGGAGTGAGAGAAGTTGCTGGCAGCATAGGTACTGCATCTTTTCTAAGGGTAGCTTCTGTTGGCATCAATTCTTTCGCATAAACACCAGAAGCAGGAAAATCTGACATACCATCTGCATCTAAAAATCCCAAAAGAAGAAATATACGATTTGAATTTCTGAGCATAAATGACTAAAATAACCTTGAAAATTAAAGGAAGCTTGAAGTTCACAATCTAGTGATGAGAAAATGTTGATTAATGCCATAAAAGAAGGATTTTTTTCCATTCTTTTTTCAATTTATTTCTTCATTCCACCTTGTTTTTTCCGTCATAGACCAGACATGCTAAGATCCCCAGTTATATTACTGTCTAGCACAGCCAGTCAGGAAGATGTAGTTTCCTGGTTATGGAAATAAAACCTCAGCACAAGTGAGCAAGTCTGGAAATCATATGAAAATCAACTTGCTCCATCGAGGTTCGAAACAACACAAGGACAGTGAATCCTGACTGCCAATCCCATATGATAACGCATGCTAATAGGCAAATTGCTTGTAACCAAATATTTTTTTCCACTAACTTCATATTTTTGAAGATGATATTGGAAATTTCATATGGATAAGCACACATACTAAATGACTTTGGACCTTTGGTGCTCAAAACTGCAAAGCTCAAGCACTGCAGAGTTTGTGTTTGAAATGATTTGCTGTTAGATTGTAACTAATGCATGTAAGCACCCAGAAATAAGAAATCAGGCATCCTGAATTAAGGAAATAACCTAGGCCATTTTGCAAATCAAGTTTATTCAAACTACAACTTTCAGACAAATTACAGATTAGATATCTCATAAAGGAAAAGGCTGTTGGAAGAGCAGTTAAATTGTTCCTGGAGTTGTTTAAACCAACGTACGGAAGGACCAATTAAACCTTCAATATTTCTTAGATGCAAAGATATTTTGAATGTAAGCTGAATACTCTCACTACTAGGAAAATTAGTGAAATCCTGAAAAATATGAACAATATATGTTCTTCGGCTGTCTCTTAAGCACTGGAAATTTTCCTCCATCGCAGGTTCCTTCTCCAGAAATCCTTTTGTTACGACTTATGGCACAGGTGGCAGGCATGTGCCAATGATTGAAGGCACTCCTCTCGCACATGCAAGTTATGGGAGGCCTTTATTTCTAGTTAGTCCCAAGCACTTACTTCCTTCAATGCTATTATTTTTTATGCATTCAACCTCAACTCAACCCTATATTTAATCCTGAAAAGGCTCAAGAATTCAGATGCTTGGGTTCTCCTTACGCAATCAAGATAACCAAGCTCAAGCTCCAAGAATCCATCATACATAATCAGGTACTTTACACAGCCTCAATTGATCGGACAAAATTAGCAAATCTACAGCACCATCAAAAGGCTTAAAGAACATGCCACACCAAAAATGACCACATTCACAGGCCTAAATATGAACCAATTAAGCTATTGAAAAATGAATTCAAACATCTTTGAATCCATCTGTTCAGTAAAAGCCTTTCAATTTATGCTTTAAGCATAATTAGTAATACAATTAAATGAATCTATGATAGACTTTTATCAAATCTCCAAGCAACTCCATTCACTTGCAGCCAAAAAAAGCACTATTTTCAGATTGGCACTCAAGCCTGGCTTGCAATAATAAAGAAACCAAGTTTCAGGAAAGGCATGAGCTTCTCCTCTTTGCATAACAAGTGGATCTCAAACCAAACCAAAGCCTTATCAAATTTTATATAGCTGAGCTTGAGCATACATAGAAATAGAAAAACCATTCTGCACCCCTCACATTTTAACTCCTTATTTAGAGACCTTTTCTTTTTATTACACTTTTAGAGACTAATGGGACTTGTACCAGCTCAAAAGTGAAAGCTTGGAAGAATAACATCAAAAACTCATCAGCCATGCCAAACACTCATCTTAGTTACTATAAAAAAATTGTTTAGGGTGCAGAACCCAGCCCGATTATTCACACCTCTGAACATAAAATAACCTATACAATCTTTCTTCATTTAATTGACTGGTGAATAATAATGCACACCTTATCACACTACCTTCAATAAACTCTAAGCTCAATCTGATGGCATTTATTTTAGCGCTCTGACAGATTAATTTATTTATGTAAAGAAACTTATTTGGAGAAAAGGGATAGAGGTTACAGCTTAAAAGAATGACAACATCAGCGGGCCAGATAAGAACAAGCTTCAATCAACAAAGCTCTGTCCATACAGAGAACAGTAACTGAGAAACCAAAACACATCAATCTTTCTTTTTTTCCCAATTCTTTCAGACATCAAAGGTCAGCAGTGACAAAAGAATTCAGATTTTTACTAACCAATCCACAAGGTAAGCTCAACCATCTACCCGATTCAAATAATGAGAAGAAATAGCACATAAATTGCATAGAAAAAGGAGGAGTTCGAAGTTAGAAGACTTACAGTTGAAGAACTGTATAATGGCGTTGCAGGCTTCTCTAGAAGACATCAGTTTTCTTTCA